GTATCTGAAGCGAACTGATCAGTTTTTTCTGCATTAAGAGTTGGGTTGTTCAACCCAATAGAGTTATCAGTATCCTGCTCTTCAATCATATGAAAGTTACGCGAGGTTGAGAGCAACATCAGACTTCGGGCTTCTCGTTGATCTCCGTAATGAGTGCCTTCTCCTTCAATGGTGGGGAACTTCAGGGCATAATGGAAAATTGACACAGCAGCACGAAGTTTGTAAAGTGCAGTTCGCCCTATTACAGCATTATATTCATTCTGGACATCCAAGACTTTGAAAGTCTCCATAATAATCTTGGATTTTGGGCCCAAAGCCACCAAATCGAATAGGGAGCAATATTTCGCCGACAGGGCAAGAAATGCTTCCATTGAAATCTTGAATTTGGTCGTTGAAAGGCCTAATGTCTGCTGGGTCTAAACCCAATTTCTTGAAAGTGCGAAGCATCAAAATACTTGAATAAGCTCCTGTGTCGACCAAAATTCGGTGAACCGGAATCCCTCCAATCGGGGCTGTTATAATAAGGGCGTCGGAATGAGGATGAGCAAATAGATTGGCATCTTCAATACTGAATGTAATAGGGCAATTCCGATTATTAATAGTATCTCGAAGATCAACGTTCATGACTCGTTTCTCGGCGTTTTGTGCCTCCCTGGCATAGGCTTTGGCTTTCCGTCGAGAAGTGTCCAGTTGTTTATTATTAGAATTGACTCGAGGTATGCAACGTGAAGAGTCTAAGGTATCATGTATCCTGGATTTCCTGCAGTTATCAGTCGAAGTTCCGACAAAAGTAGAAAACGTAAAAACCTCCTTATCGTTTGCACGGGCTCTTTTCGGATTAATAGGTCGGTTATCATCATCTTCATCATCTGAAAGATCCAAGGGCCTCCCTTTTCGGCGATTGTCAAAATTTCGGAACTTCTGAAGCTGAGGTTGTCCGATTAACCGTAAGAGAGCTGACAAAAGACCGAGACACTCACCGGTATTATGTCCCGGAGACTTGTGATATGCACAATATCGAGTTTATTCCAGCTTGTCTTCAGGGGTTCTCATAGGTCTCAGGTCTGGAATAATCCTTTTTCCTTTCAGTTCTTCATATATAGTAGCTGCTCCGGCTGAATAAACGGCCTGATAGCCTGTCCTGACATTATCTGAATACTGATCACGAGCGGCCCTAGACTCTGGAGTATTTTCATATCTTTTGGAGAAATTCCGAAATTGTGCTTTCCCAAAGTTCTTCTTATTCATCTTTTTAGCGTCCGGTTCAGTCTTGCTTTCTTTCACCGAGAAGTCGAAACTGGGAACCGACATTGATTCCTCGGCAATAATAAATTGTTGAGCACGTACAAGAAATTCTTGGAACGTGGCCGGTTTGTTTTGGCACAAGGTCCAGCGAAACATCGAGTTGGGCCTCAGTCCAGCGATTGCGGTTACTAACAGGGTCTCAGAGTGACAAGGCTCCATGTTTTGAATTCGGTCGTTGAACCGAGACACGTAGTCTTTAACAGTCTCGTCGTCCTTTTGCACGATATTAGTAATTGATTCTTTTGGGATGAGACAAATCTGAGCTCCGATAAAGTGCGATCGGAAGGCCGCACGTAACTGTTGCCACTTCCAAATTGAATGAGGTGGGAGAGTATAGTACAATTTTTGTGCTCGTGGCCCCAGTGTAAGCGAAAACATCCGACATCTCAAAGCATCTGAGGCACCATGCAAATCCATCCAAGACGTATAATGGCCCAAATGTGCATCCGGATCTGATGTTCCATCATACATGCCAATTTGTGGGATTTTTACCTTAGCTGGGAGTGCCTCCGCGGTAAGTTCTGGAGCTAAAGGTGAATCAACTTCAATAATGACATTTCCCGACGTCGAAACATGTCGGGGAGAGTCTTCCTGCGACTTCTGTCGGGTCTCGAGTTCAGCCAAGCGTTTACGAAGAGTTTCAGTTTCTTCCGCACTATGTCTTGAAATACGATTTCGTTCAATCTGACGCCGCAAATCTTCACGAACATGAGGCATTGACGAAGCGAGTCTAGGGCGTGACGGAATTCGCTGATGATGGGCAGAGTGGCTTTCAGCAGTCATTTCCTGTACAGGGGGTTCCTCCGGGGCTTGATTGTTCGTTATTGGGTTAGCAGTTATACGAGTTAACTCTTCTCGACGTGGAGAAGTATGGTGGGGTTGTGACGTAGCATGGGATGTCGCCGCATGCGTTTCGGGGTCATGACGAGTATGATTTGGATGTTCTGTTGGATTAGTAGTTAACGGCATTGATAATGGTACCGTATTCGAGTTTCTGGGCATGGCTCGAGCTATCAAAGAGGTTAAACCTTGAATAAACTCCGGGTTTTGAAGAAAGTTCATGATATTCGTGACCGGAGGAGGCGGTGTTGAACGTCGCGGAGAATGATTAGTCGATTGGCTCTGGCCAGGGTGAGTTGTATGGTCTCGACCAGACTGCGACATGGCGATTTCAAGCGCGAAAATGGCTTTCACAGCGAAAGTTAACCTCAAAACGTGATGATGCCCTCCTTCTAGCGCCAAACTGTTGTTAAACGGGAGTTAACAACTATATAATCGACAGGGATTTTGTGTAACTTCAAAATAAAACAGCAAAGACTATATGAACAGTGAAATGAGATAGAATTTTTTGTTTTAATATTATGGCATGCTTGTCCCTTTTTTTTTGCCGGAGAACCTTTTCTCCTTTTATATTTATTTACAACATTTATCTAATATGTAATCATTACACGAGAATAGTCAATGGCGGCTGATTGCCATTCATCCTAGTAACGTGCCACTTGGCCAGGTGTAATGATGAGTTGTGCTGAGTTGGCACCGCCTCGTGGTGTCGGTCTAGCAAGTCAGAGATATCGGTTTGCGTAGTTATAACCGATATGTCATATCCGATATGTATTAACCGACATGTCATAACCGACATGAGATATCGGTCAATTGACGACGATGTCGGTTCTTGATGAATTCTTACCCAATATGTAATTATCCTGAAATCTGTGAAGACATCATCTACTTTGCGGATTCAATCATCCTCCTACTGAACATAATCATGTGATCAGTGTCGCTTAATTCGGTTTATTGAAACTGACGTCAACAGCTAGCTTATTTGTCTATCAAACATATCCTAAATCGACAAACTCCAAACTAAAGCGTGCAATATACATAGTATATTGGAACCACTGAAAGTTGAATGGAAGTTTATATTATCTTATTGCTTTATTTTATTTAATTCCCTTGATTTTATTTGGTTCAAGTTTTTTATCAACTTATTTTGTTTAAAGAAGATCGAGAAGAAATCTACAAGATATCTTACCATATGAAGCAGTCGCACATGAAAAGAAAGAAGGATTATACTTACCATGCAAAAAAGTCACAAGGTGTGTAGCATAATTACCATATGGAGTAGCAGAAAGATGTGTGAATAACTTACCATGCAGAATTAACTTGCAAAATGGATAAGCGGCCACCGCGCAAGAATGTGGACACGACTAATTTTGGAAGAAATAAGACAAGGTGAACTTACCATAGTTATGGAAGAGATAAGCAACTCCTTGCATGGTTGGGAGATTGGCGATCAGTAGATTATTTTTTATTTTTGTTTAGAGAGAATAGTTTTGAGAACTGCTTGTGTGAATCATTTTTTGGAGATATTTTAATATATTTGAGTGGAGACGAGAGTCTGTTCTCGATCTCATTGAGCATGTTTATACTTTGAGAAGGTATATATAGGTGTTCGAGAGGAACACTCATAACAATACGGTATTCGTGTTGTGAAAATCTACAAGAGATTTGTAGTCGGAAAGCAGTTGTAAAATCTGAGAAAAGAAAAATGAGATTCTTTGAGAAAATAAATAGTAATTTTATTAGCAAACTCTGCCACTTTTATTTTTATTTAACAATTCTCATATACTAACATTTTTTTCGATTCTCTTTTTAAAATTGAAGCCTCTAGACAATTATGTCACTCTATCGTTAATGAATTTATGTCCAAAGTGTATTTATTGTATGACACATGTCAACACATTATTAGTGAATATTGTGGATGACTCTATAAGTAGAGCCATCCGATAACTCCACAATAAAACTTTATGTGCTTATATTACTTTGTAAAAGCAAAAGAAAAAAAAAAAATGCTTATAGTATATAGAAATTGAAAGTGCAATAAATCACCCCAAACTTATTTAATTTTATATTTGATCTAACCGCACGCAAAAGCTTGGCACATTGTTTAGTAGCCGGCCCCACTAATTTCCCATGCCCATCATCAATTCATCATCATCATCATGTACCCAAGAGCGTTTGGATGAGATGGTTTGGGTCTCTTCCAGCTTAACCAGTGGTCTCGTGTTCGAGCTCTGGAAATGCAGCAGTGTTGAAACTCTTGAGGGAGAGCTTTGCCACCCTTGTGGTCCTACCCGGCTCGATTATAAATTAATCGGTTCCTCTGTGAATCCGGAAACCGGAAAGTCCATGTACTAAAAAAAATCATCATCATCATGTGTAATTAATTTGTGAATCTCATCTCATAAATCTACATGCCACGTGTCCACCGTGGGACCACTCCCACTGCCAGGTGGCGATTCCCTTTGAAACAAAACCAAAAACCATAACCAAACTCTCTCACATATACCCTTTGTCCTATTCCTCAGCTCTCCCCCATTGTTTGTTTGTTTGTTCCTTTCTTTCTACACGCAACGCAACCGCAAACACATATCACACAAAACATGCACGTCGATGTGATTCACATAAATATAATAGAGAGAATATAGATAAAAGAGAGAACATATTTACATATGCTTCGACTTTTTGCTGCATATTCTTTATATCTTTTACCCTTATCGAATAAATAAAGCTACATTACCTTTCACTCGGCCTATTAAAGCCTTTCGCACACGCACATTATTCATCCTTTTAATTTCTTCTCAGTTCATCAATTTGATTTGTTGCGACGATCGAGAGAGAGAGAGAGAGAGAGAGAGATGGCGGGAAACGAGTGGATAAACGGGTATCTCGAGGCCATATTGGACAGCGAAGACAACAACATTAACAGTAATAGTATTATTAATAGTAGTAATGTTAATGGGGTGAGGGGAAAGGGTGATTTTAATCCGACGAAGTACTTTGTGGAGGAAGTGGTGAGCGGGGTGGAGGAGAGTGATCTGCACAGGACATGGATCAAAGTGGTCGCCACGAGGAACACCCGACAGAGAAGCTCGAGGCTCCAGAACATGTGCTGGCGCATTTGGCATCTTGCTCGAAGAAAAAAACAGGTCTCATCCTCTTTCTTTCTTTCGTTGCAGAACCATTTCGTCGGAGTTTATAACCGTTAAATCATCATGTAACCGTTGGGAATAGTTGATCTAACGGTTACAAACCTCGACAAACTGGTTTAGTTCCGTTGCTGGTTGAAATCAATCTAAAAGGTTGTTGGTAACCGCTTGCTTATCAAACTGTAACCACCACCAACCCTCAATTATAGCTCAACCCTTGTGACATTATTTTCCTGGGAAATGCTACAGTCCGTTATGGAACCATTTCGTCGAGATTTATAACTGTTAGAATCATCATGTAACATACTTGATCTTATTTATAAACTACATGTTAACCAAAAAATAATGCAATCCCCCCTATATATTAATACAGAATGCGCTGAGCCTACGTGGCTGCTTCTGGTGCTTCGGAATCCTATGTGGCAAAATTACATACTTCGTTAGTAGGCTTGGGTAAATTTTAATTTAATTCCAAACCAAAAAAAATTAGGTTCGGATTACCATAAATATGTTGATTATTTATGGTCATGTTACATGTATTAATTGTATTTTAATATCATTCCTTATTATAGCTATTGAATTGTATATATATTTTAAAAGTTAATAACTTTTGTATTTTTTATCAGTTTTGCATATGTAATATATCAAATTAATCTTCTTTTGATAAGCTTCGATTTAACATCCATATTGTATGTATAAAAAAATAATTTATATTATAACACATGTAAGTCATAAGTAACACATATCATTCTAAAATATATAGTAATATATTTTTTTTGTACAAAAGTAAACTAAATTTAATATAATTTTCTCATTAATTTTAAAATTTAAGAAAAAATTTTTAACAAGCACCCGTGTAATACACGGGTATTGTACTAGTTTAAAAATAAAAGATAATGTAGAAATTTATCACTCACACACTTTAAAGGTTACTATATTTGTAATAAAGAAACAGAACTCCGTAAATACAAAAAATAAAATGAGATTTGAAGATAAATGGTATAATCTTCTCTATATTTTTATTAGACCGAATGGTTATAAGAATGCCAACATATTACAGAGAAGATAATTGGTTTATAGAGAAGATTATTTTTCAATTCAATTCAATCAGTGATTTGTTTAATCTATTTAAAATGTCAAAATATTATTTAATTGGACATATCATTTTATAAAATAATATTTTGACGATGTTAGTTGGCCTGCTACTAACATGTATGTTATTAAAAATAACAATATAATTTATATTAACATTTGCGAAAATGATAACACTAGGTAATATTAAAAATAGCATCAAATACGAAAATGATAACACTAGGTAATATTAAAAATAGCATCAAATACGGTTATCGTAAATTCTTAGTAATTGGGTTGATTGCTCTCAATATGCTGTCATAGTCCTCACTCTCTTTATAGTCATTCTCTGCATGCACATTTTTGCTCTGTTTATTTGATCACTTTTCTAAAATATCTATGGCATTTAAATTGTTTTTCCTTTTGTAGTTGGAGCTGGAGGTTTTTCAGCAGATGTCAAACAGAAAGTGGGAACGAGAACAAGGTCGTAAGGATGTGACGGAGGACATGTCCGAAGATTTATCTGAAGGAGATGTATTAGGAGACGCATTAACGGTCGACAGCCCCATGAAAAAATTCCAACGCAACTTCTCCAACTTGGAAGTTTGGTCGGACAGTAATAAAGAAAAAAAGCTTTATATTGTTCTTATAAGGTGAAATATAATATATAGCTCCAGGACTTGTTCGTTGTAGATTTATTGGATACACACGACATTTTCTTTAAGCATAAATTATACACATACATCATTTGTTCTGTCAATTGAATTTTTCATATCATGAGATTGTTAAATATCGTTATGATCATATATATATATGATGTTGAGATAATCGAATAACTATAATTTGATTGTTTTTCATGCACTTTTGGTAAATACGGTGACTACATAGTTTACATGGCCTTGTTCGTGGTGAAAATATGGAGCTTGGACGGGATTCGGATACTGGTGGTCAGGTAGTATACATATATTTGTGCTCTTGTCCACAAAAATCCTTAGTATATATGTCATGTGGTGTCATCATCAGTTAATTAGTCCTATTTTTTCTTTTTTTAATTAATTAATGACAGATAAAATATGTGGTAGAGTTGGCTAAAGCCCTTGCCAAAACACCAGGTGTATACAGAGTGGATTTGCTGACTAGGCAAATTTCGTCAGCCGAAGTAGATTGGAGTTATGGTGAGCCGACAGAGATGCTTACTACAACAAGTGAGGATAGTGAAGTAGGTGAAAGCAGTGGAGCATACATTGTACGGATACCCTTTGGTCCTTCCGAAAAGTATCTAAGAAAAGAGCTGCTATGGCCTTACATCCCAGAGTTTGTTGATGGGGCATTATCTCACATTCTTAATATGTCCAAGGCTTTGGGAGAACAAATTGGTAAGGGAAAACCCGTTTGGCCCTACGTTATTCACGCTCATTATGCAGATGCTGGAGACAGTGCTGCTCTTCTCTCAGCTGCTTTAAACGTCCCAATGGTTTTAACCGGACACTCTCTGGGAAGAAACAAGCTTGAACAACTTCTTAAACAAGGGAGGCAATCCAAACAAGACATTAATTCCACGTACAGGATTATGAGGAGGATAGAAGCTGAAGAACTTTCTTTAGATGCTGCTGAGCTTGTTATCACGAGTACCAAGCAAGAGATTGATGAACAATGGGGATTATATGATGGGTTTGACGTGAAGCTGGAGAGAGTTTTGAGGGCTCGTGCTAGGCGTGGGGTCACTTGCCATGCTCGCTTTATGCCTAGGATGGCCGTAAGGATATATATATATATATGATCAATATAATTAAAACTAATTACAATTTTATTGTACTGAAAATCAATTTTTGTATGAATAATATTTTTCAGGTTATTCCTCCAGGGATGGACTTTAGCAATGTTGTCGTTCAAGAAGATATTGGTGAGAATGATGCCGAACTTTCATCACTAATCAATACTAATACGAATGAAGGGTCATCACCTAAAGCAGTCCCTGCTATATGGTCTGAAGTAAGATCACATTTATATATGGTTTCTTATATCATTTCCATCACAAATGCATCCACAAAATTATTTATGTGCCTCTAATTTTTAGGCATTGTTTTCATAGATTATGCGTTTTCTGACAAATCCACACAAGCCGATGATTCTTGCATTATCACGGCCTGATCCGAAAAAGAATTTAACAACTCTTATTAAAGCTTTTGGAGAATGTCGTCCACTACGAGAGCTAGCTAATCTTGTAAGTTGATTTAAAGTTGATTCCGAACCTTTTTCCATCGTGCTATTGCTACGCAACATTTATTGAACCAAATATTTTGAATTGTTTGCAGACTCTTATAATGGGGAATAGGGACGATATCGATGAAATGTCTGGAGGAAATGCTAGTGTGCTAACAACTGTATTGAAGCTGATCGACAAGTACGACCTCTATGGCCAAGTGGCTTTTCCTAAGCATCACAAGCAAAACGATGTTCCTGAAATATACCGTTTGGCTGGCAAGACAAAGGTTTACTAAAAACACTTGTTCCCTTTAATTTTCCATGCAAATTTTCGTCTTATATTTTGTCATCAAAATTTCAATTTCTGCAGGGCGTCTTTATAAACCCGGCTTTTATCGAGCCTTTTGGACTTACTTTAATTGAGGTTCGTTTTTTTCGACTAAAATGAATACATTTTTTGCTATCTCATAAGTATAGTTTTTTTTTAATGATCTATGGTGACTTCAATTGCAGGCTGCTGCTCATGGACTACCAATAGTGGCAACTAAGAATGGTGGACCTGTGGATATTCATCGGGTAAAATTGGCTGTTGTATTTATCTAATTTTAAAATAAACGTAATTAACTTTTAAGTGATACAGGCTCTTAATAATGGTCTTCTAGTGGATCCACACGATGAACAAGCAATTGGCGATGCCCTTTTGAAGTTAGTCTCGGAAAAGAATTTATGGAACGAGTGCCGAAGGAATGGTTTGAAAAACATTCATCTTTTCTCATGGCCCGAACATTGCCGAACATATTTGACAAGGATCGGCTCATGTCGAATGAGGCACCCTCAATGGCAAACCGACACTCCTCCCGATGAACATCACGTTGCTCATGATTCCCTCAATGACTCACTTAAAGACATGTCTTTGCGCCTATCTGTTGATGGCGAAAAAACATCATTAGATGAAGCTGTTGTCGATGATAACCCTGAGATGAAGGACCATGTTAATAATGTCCTGAGCAAAATGAGGACAGGAGATCCTAATGCTGCCGAAAAGTATCCATCATTCTTAACAAGGCGTCGTAAACTTTTTGTGATAGCCCTTGATTGCTATGACGCTAAAGGATTGCCCGATAAAAAGATGGTTGATTTAATCCGAGATATTTTGGAGGCTGTTAAGATGGATTCGGAGAGTGGGAGATGTTCGGGATTTGCATTATCTACAGCTATGCCAGTTGAGGAATTGATCGAGGTTTTGAAAACGGGGAATATTGAAGTGAATGAATTCGATGTATTGATATGCAGTAGTGGTAGTCAAGTGTACTATCCTGAGGATGGAAAGCTGCAGCTTTGTCCTGATCCAGATTACGCGTCACATATCGAGTATCGATGGGGTTTAGATGGTGTGAAGAACACAATCTGGAAGCTAATGAACATGTCATCAGAAGTTGCTAAATCTGATTCTTCTCCACCTGTCATTGAGGAAGATGTTAAATCAAGCAATGCACATTGTCTTTCATATTTGATCAAGGATTTGAGCAAGGTTTAATTTTTTTTTTTTAATATATTTTAAATAATCCTTTTAGAGAATTATAGGAAAATTTTAAAATTTTTTGGTGGTATATTATATATAATTTTCAATTTAAATTTTTTTTTTTTTTCAGGCAAAAAAGGTGGATGATTTGAGACAGAAACTAAGAATGAGAGGTCTACGCTGCCATTTAATGTATTGTAGAAATTGCACAAGAATGCAAGTTGTTCCTCTAATGGCCTCTCGCTCACAGGCACTAAGGTAATTCAACTAATCATCTTCATTGATTTTCGAAAGTTCGAACGGTACTTGTCGATTACTATTCGATCGACTGTCAATCAACAGGTACCTCTTTGTCCGTTGGCAAGTTAACGTGGCTAATATGTACGTGGTTCTGGGAGAAACAGGTGACACAGATTATGAGGAAATGATATCTGGAACACATAAGACTCTCATTTTGAAAGGGGTCGTTGGAAAAGGTTCGGAAGAGATGGTCCGAACCACCGGAAGTTTCCTACGAGACGATATAGTTCCGACAAACAGCCCGTTGGTTGCCGAAATAGGTAAAACAGAGGAAATAATGAACACATTAAGGCAAATCTCCAAAGTGATGTGAAATAGGTTGTTCTGTTCTATAATAGAAAATGCAAATATGTACCCTTTTTAAAAATAAAAAAATAAAAAAATTGTGTGTGGATGTTGCTTACTAACACGAATAAGTGTATGGCTCATGTCATGGATATATATTTTGGTATTTTTTGTTATCTTAATTATGATGTCTTATGAAAAACACATAATATTTTGAATTGGTTCATGTAGACAGGAAATGGTTAAAAAAATAAAATAAAAAATAGGCTGAAAGAAGATGGTTTAGGAGGTGTTTGGAAGAGCTTATAAGTTCTTTAATCGGTATATATTTTTTCCTTTAAAAGATTTTTTTTTTTATTTGCTATTTATTTTTTCATATGAAATCTCTCATCCTCCCTATATATAATTCCCAAATGCGCTGAGTCTACGTGGCTGCTTCTGGACCACATAGATCGTAATTAGGTTTGACAAATAATATTGATATATTAATAATTAATAATCTAGGTTTGGACATTCCATAAATATTATTTCGTTAACTTAGGTATTTTAATATCACTTGTACACCCTTTAATTCCTTGTAATTTTACATTGTGAGACACTAAGTGACTAATATATCACTGATTTTTGATTTGTTTCCTTCAATTAGCTATTGAATTATAAATTTATTTTAAAAGTTGATAACTTTTGTATTTCTTATCGGTTTTACATATATAATATATCAAATTAATCATCTTTTGATGATCTTCGATTTGACATCAATATTGTATATATTGAAATAAATAAATTATATTTATATTTATAATAATAATAAATAATTATATTTATTAAAATTCATTAGAAAAATAAATTATTTCTCAATTGATATATTTATGTTTAATGTAGTTATATGTTGTAAGTTAAAAAAATTATTATAATATAACACAGGTAAGTCTCACAAATAAAAAGTGTCATACTAAATATATAATAATATATATTTTTTATAAAAGGTATTTAAATTTTTAAATATTTTTTCTCATTAATTTTATATTTTAAGAAAAAAATTAGCAAGCACCCTTGTAATACACGAGAGTTGTACTAGTATATATAATTTCAAAATGCGCTGAGCCTACGTGGCTGCTTCTGGTGTTTCAAAATTCTACTTGGCGAAGAATCATGCTTCGTAATTAGGTTTGAACAAATAATATCCTCCCTATATATTATTCCCGAATGCGCTGAGCCTACGTGGCTGCTTTTGGTGCTTCGGAATCCTACTTGGCAAAGAATCATGCTTCGTAATTAGGTTTGGACAAATAATATTGGTATATTAATAATTAATAACTTAGGTTTGGACATTCCATAAATATTATTTAGCTAACTTAGGTATTTTAATATCACTTGTACTAATATAACCCTTTATTCTTTGTAATTTTACATACTGAGGCACTAAGTGACTAATTTATCCCTCACTTTTGATTTATTTCCTTCAATTAGCTATTGAATTATAAATGTAGTTTAAAAGTCGATAACTTCTGTATTTCGTATCGATTTTTACATATATAATATATCAAATTAATCATCTTTTGATGATCTTCGATTTGATATCCATATTATATATATGAAATAAATAAATTATATTTATATTTATAATAATAAAAAATAATAATATTTATTAAAATTTATTAGAAAAATAAAATTATTTCTCAATTGATATATTTATGCTTAATGTTGTTATATGTTGTAAGTTAAAAAAATTATTATAATATAACACATGTAAGTTGCACAAATAAAAAGTGTCATACTAAATATATAATAATGTATATATTTATAAAAGGTATTTAAATTTTCAATTACATTTTTCTCATTAATTTTAGATTTTAAGAAAAAATTAACAAGCACCCGTATAATACACGGACGTTGTACTAGTTGATATTAATAATTAATAATCTAGGTTCAGACATTCTATAAATATTATTTAGCTAATTTAGGTATTTTAATATTGTACTAATATAACCCTTTAATTCTTTATAATTTTACACTAATTGACTAATATATCCTGACTTTTGATTTGTTTCCTTCAATTAGCTATTGAATTATAAATATATTTTAAAAATTGATAACTTTTGTATTTCTTATCGGTTTTACATATATAATATATCAAATTAATAATCTTTTCATGATCTTCGATTTGACATCCACATTGTATATATAAAATAAATAAATTTTATTTATCTTTATAATATTAAAAAATAATAATATTTATTAAAATTTATTAGAAAATAATATTATTTCTCAGTTGATATATTATGTTTAATGTAGTTATATGTTGTAAGTTAATAAAATTATTATAATATAACACAAGTAAATCACACAAATAAAAAAGTGTCATACTAAATATATGATAATATATATATTTTATATAAGGTATTTAAATTTTCAAATACTTTTCTCATTAATTTTAGATTTTAAGTAAAAAAATAAGCAAGCACCCTTGTAATACACGGGCGTTGTACTAGTATATATAATTCCCGAATGCGTTGAGCCTACGTTGCTACTTCGGAATCCTACTTGGCGAAGAATAACGCTTCGTAATTAGGTTTAGACAATTAATATTGATATATTAATAATTAATAATCTAGGTTCGGATATTCCATAAATATTATTTAGCTAACTTAGGTATTTTAATATTACTTGTGCTAATATAACCCTTTAATTCTTTGTAATTTTACATAGTGGGACACTAAGTCACTGATATATCCCTAACTTTTGATTTCCTTCCTTCAATTAGCTATGAATTGTAAATGAATTTTAAAAGTTAATACCTTTTGTATTTCTTATCGATTTTACATATATAATATATCAAATTAATCATCTTTTGATGATTTTTAATTTGACATTCATATTGTATATATGAAATAAATAAATTATATTTATCTTTATAATAATAAAAAAATAATAATATTTATTTTAGAAAAATTAAATTATTTCTCAATTGATATATTTATGTTTAATGTAGTTATATGTTGTAAGTTAAAAAAAATTATTATATATAACACAAGTAAGTCGCACAAATAAAAAGTGTCATACTAAATATATAATAATATATATTTTTAGTAAAAATGTATTTAAAATTTCAATTACGTACTTTTTTCTCATTAATTAGATTTTAAAAAAAAAATTAGAAACTCCCGTGTAATATACGGACGTTGTACTAGTATATTAAATTACGGACATTGTACTAGTATATTAAATTACATGATGATCTTAATTCAATATTCATCTCGCTTATATAAAATAAACAATAATCATCCTATGCATATAAAATAAAATTAAAGTTTTCCAAATGAGCGTAATATTATCTTATAATATAAACTATAAAATACATATTAAATAATTTGTTTAGCATAAATAAAGCATGCTTGAATTTTCTTTTATGCTAGAAAAGTAAGTACAAAAATGGATATAAACAATTATTACAAGTATCAACGATATTGAAGCTCTAAATTAACTGACTGTTTTATGTGATGTTTTTTTAATTTACGACTTCGTTAACTCGGAGCCGGTTCGAGCATTCAGACATTGTTCAATCAAAACAATGCTGACCCATTTGACTCGGTTGACCTTGTTGGGTACTATGAAGAACGTCGATCGATGTGTATAAATGAATTTCAAAGTAAATAATTTTAGGGTAACGGATCTAGCATATAAGATTAAGAACTTATGGTTTAAGAATTAATTATCGAATTTGTATAAACTTACTCGATCTACGGGATCGAAAGAATGAGGTACCTTCGAACCTTCTAGCTGTAAGATAGATCACCACCGAGTTGGTCTTCGTAGGCGATGCTAATCCTCTGTAGTCTCTCTTGAAGCTCACGCCGACCAAATCTTGAAGAAGGAAGGAGATCTTGTGTTTTTAAAACACTATATCTCTTTTTTTCTTTCTTAGATCCTCACGTTTTCTCTCTCCCTTGATCTCGACTTTTTTTGGCCAATTTTTGCTTGAGATTTCTCATGTGCATGTGTGTGCCGCATGAAGGGACTTGGTGTATTTATAGACTACAGTAGCAACTCAAAGGATGTATAAATAAGGACTCTCCATGTGATTAGAGAACTATAGATTATGTCCACTTACACCCAATCCACATGAATAATATTCTCTTTCACTAGAGAAATATTGTTGAACGTTCAATTTAACCGCAAATCATATTTAAATTTTCTTTAGTTTTATTCATTCTGTTTATCTCCTCATATTTATGATCTAACGTAATATGGGATATTATATGCACTAAACCTGTTTGCTGAACTGAATAAAATAGATTAGCCGGGTTGGTCGAGCAGAGTAGTCATCGGTTGATAGAAGGTGGAGGTAAAAGATACGCAGACCTAGGAGCGCCAGGAAGTTACCTGCTTCACTAAGCCCTAGTCGAGGAACTAGATGGTTGAATTCTGGCGGTCGTGAGATCGACC